GAAATTCTCAAAAATATCCCTAACTTATATCTAAATAGATTATAAGTCTTTGATTAAGGCTAACATATTCCATCCTGAATAGAAATTACCAAAAAATAAATTACTTTTTATGTATTTGTCATCTTCACAATTACTTACTAATTAATGTACTTTAACCTCACAACAAGAAATACAAAAATAAAATAATAATAAAAATATATGGCTTGAATGTTTGTATTTTCCATAAAGTTAAAATCAGCCGTGTATAACCTATCATTTCTAGTTTTTTTTTCGTTTATATTTTTTTCATTGTTCTATTCCTCTCATATTTCCACCCTAATTCACTTTAAAAATAGAGTAGATGAATATCTCTACTCTAAAAGATAGTTTAGGGGGAAAAAATGTTTGTTTCTTAAAATTGAATTAGCAAAATTAAATAAACTAAAGTTAAATTACTGTACATATTTAATGTTGGGATGTAAGCAAAGATCCACATCATTCGAATAAGAGGATGGACATAGGTTTATATACACACAATTGTCTCTATTGATAAAGAGGTCTTTTGGGTGATGTCCAAAAGCAAAACTGTGAGGACTTAGGCCTAAAGCAAACAATATCTTACCAATGTGGAGACATATGTATGTGTGAGGTAACCCCCGATGCAACAACAAGTGGTATCAGAGTCGATGGTCTGATTAAGTGACCGGTTCGACGAGTATGATGATTGGCAGGTGGATCCCCTTGTGTTGAAAGTCTTCCTAATGGTGGAGGGTTAGGAGGTGTGTCCCACATCATGAGGTCATGATGGAGTGACGGTGCAAGCACTTAGAACGTGAGTGAGCTCTATGGACCACCATTTATGGGCCACCTAGAGCGTGAGTGAGCTCTATAGGTCACCATCAAATAATACTCGTGGATCAATAGTTTTCGTTACAAGGGTAAACTATGGTTCTTTGTTTAAAGGGAGAATTGTTGGGTTGCAAGCAAAGTCTGGCATCATTCAAACAAGAGGATGGACATGGATTTATATATACTCAATTGTCTCCATGGGTAGAGAGGTTTTTTGGGTGATGTTCAAAAACAAAACCGTGAGGGCTTGGGCCCAAACAGACAATATCTTACCAATGTGGAGGCATATGTATGTGTGTGGTAACTCCCGATGTACAACATTTAATAATGTGCTTAACATATATTTTTTCATGCCTTAATTTTAAACACTAAGTGTTTAATGGTCATGCACTCTTATACAAAATTTTACATCGTGAATCAATCATAAATCAATATTTATATGACTTTTGAGATAGTAATCATAAAAGTTAACAAATTTATTATTCATAATAATTTGTGATTGGATGATAAGTGCATAAAAAAAATTTGTTAGTTGGGATTAAATTGGAGAATGAATGTATCCATATTAATCCAAGAAAGTATATAGGTGAAGAGGTAGATTGGGCTTTCTTCATATCATCTATGTAAGGTTGGCCCATTTAAGTTTAGTCATATATAGGTTTGTGGGGAACAAGAAGGAAGGGAAGTGAGAGATGGTATCTCTAAGGGAAAATCCAAAGGAATAATGACAAAGTCACCAACACCATGATGTTGACAAAGCTTTGAAAACGATGAAGATGGAGATATCACCAACACAACAGTAACAATTACGACCATGTGACATGCCACTTGCCACAAAAATTAATCTAACCAAACCAGGGACATCATCTTGGATAACTGATTACAACATAGGAACGAGTTGTTGAGAAAATATTTATATTTCTTTTCTGCACCCAATTAGAATTTTAATGGTTTCAAATATCACTTTCGGAAAATAGTTTTTGCAAAGATTTTTTTTAGCTGAAAAAATACAAAAAAGAAAATGTAGAAGGAAATGCTAAGAGAAGAAACAGAGTTGCAAATAGAATCCTCTTCCAATTCTCCTAAATAGTTAAGAGAAATGTTAATTAGTACAATGTAATAAATAATTTGGTAAAAAGAATAAAAATATAAAGAATGTACAAATTATTATATTAATTTTTTTTAGTGGTTCAAATTTAAAATTAATTTTTTAGTCTTGTAATTTGAAAAGAAAAAAAAAATTAGTCTCAACTCAAATGTCTTATTAAATTTGTTTAATAAAACCCACTTATTATTAAATGTGTTTCATAAAACTCATCTACCAATGTCATTATCGGTGAAAACATAATGAATCTAACTGATATTACATAATTAACTAAATTTCTCAATTAGTAGACTAAAAACTGTTTTTTAAATTTTAAGTACTAAAAATAATTTTAAATTCAAGAAATTAAAACTAAATTTACCTCAAATAAGCAGTATTTTATTCTATTTTTATTACAAAATATTATCCAACCTTATCTAAAATTTGAATAAATACTTTTTTCTCGTTTTTTTTTTAAGAAATGGGCTCATTAGAGACCAAGAACAGTTTAAAAATAAAGGTGCAAATAAAATCACCCGTGAGTAATTCCAATTGCTTGTAATAGGCTTAAAGTTTATGTCGATGGGGATTGTACAACAATTAGCACAACCCCAAAATTCTTTTACCAATGAAAAACGTCTTGGAAATAAACTCATTATTTAATAGCCCCTAACAAATAATGTAAGCTTGTATATTCTCCATCTAACACGATACATCACATGCCTCGTAGCACTACTCTGTATGGTTCTAAAATATGGAAGTCATAGCTTTGAAAAAACCAATGACGCCTTAAAAGAAACCCAAGATCAGTAGATCAATTTGTTAACTTAGATGATTTTAATGTTTAAGCATATAAAAAAACTTGCACTAGCTAATGAAAAATAACAATTAACATAACTTTTAAAGTAATTATCACAAAGATTAACAATCTCACCATATATAATAACTGGTTATTGGATGAATGGAAATTGTTCTTACACTATCAATACATTATAACTCTTAGGGGAGTGTATTGATTTAGGATTTCATAGGATTTTAAAAGACTTTTTTTGAGTAAAAACATTCATTGGTATTCAATCAGGATTTTATGTCACTTAAAAACAATCCAGTGGTATTCAGTTTAGATTTTCAAGATTTTTTAAAGAGTCTATTAAAATCTATTGGTATTCATTTGAGATTTTTTATAACTTAAAAACAATCCATTGGTATTAAAAATATAAGGATTTTAAAGGATTGTTGTGTGAGAGGGATTTTAAAGGACTTTCTAGTGTTATCTATAAATACCAAATTCATAAAACAATCTCATCCAAACCCATCGGATTTTGAAGGATTGTTTGAAGTGAGCTTTTCATTTTTTTTTCTATGCTCCTGTCTTCTCCATTTTTTCTCTGGTAATAATATTGCACTATTGTTCATTGTTCATATATAATATTGTAGTATTGTTCTCATCTCATTCCCCTATTTTGTGAAACTCCGATATGTAAATGATAGTGTCATTGATTTGCTCTATTTTTCTGTTCGTTCTCTTTAATTGACTTGCTTTATTTTATTCTATGTAGTTGAATTTGTTCCTTTATATAACACAAAAAAAATGCTTGAAATTTTAACTTTTAAGTGATAATTTTTTTTATAACACACGTCAAGAAAAGAAAAAGGTGAAAGATGAAATTAATATCATAATCTCTACAATATATAATATATAAGATGAATTTGTTAGGGTTTCTGTGAGTAGAATGAGATGAAAATGGATCTTAGTTGGGGGAAGAACCCCTCAGCATAAAAACTGCAATTTCTCTCCTTCGCTTAAGTTTGTTACTCTTATCCCCCTTCTTTTACGACTCAACAATTATTTTATTTTTTTTACTATGAATTTTTCTTTTTATTTTTATATTTTCTCATTTTCAGGGTCATTACCCTGACCTGCAAAATCTTGTAGATAATATCTTACACCTCGAAATGGAGCTAAAAATTGGCGTCGATTAAGAAATCTACAATCCACCAAAAAAATATTTACCTAATTACATATGCAATATATATAATATTAGTATAATAATAATAATTATATATAATTATTATTATTATTATACTAATATTATATATATTGCATATGTAATTAGGTAAATATTTTTTTGGTGGATTGTAGATTTCTTAATCGACGCCAATTTTTAGCTCCATTTCGAGGTGTAAGATATTATTTACAAGATTTTGCAGGTCAGGGTAATGACCCTGAAAATGAGAAAAAATTGTTCAATCTTCGTCATGCATCTTTAAGGAATGTGATCGAGAATATATTTGGTATTTTTAAATCAAGGTTCACAATTTTTAAGTCAGCACCTCCATTTTTATTTAAGACACAAGTAGAACTTGTGTTAGTATGTGGAACACTACATAATTTTCTACGTAAAGAATGTCGTTCTGATGAATTTCTAATTGAAGCGGTAGATAAACCTTCATCTTCAACGTTACCCGTTAATGAAGATCATACTTTTGAACTTATTATGCAAACCCAGGAGCAAGAGCGAATAGACGCTAATGCTTGGAAGACTAGTATAGCTATAGATATGTGAATGAGTATTATTTAAGAGGATAAGATATTATAGAGAATTATTATTATTGTTATTTATCTAGACATTATTATTTTTGTCTTTAAGTCTTTTTAAATTTGAATGTATGAAATTTTTTTTAAAATCCTATCAAATGTCAAAAATCCACAAAAATTCTACAAAATCCTACAGAATCCATTAAAATCTTGATTTAAAAGTCTTGCAGAATCCATTAAAATTCTGATTTCAAGTCTCGTAGAACCCTGCAAAATCTTAAAAGTCATGAAAATCCTGCAAAGTCTTTTAAAATCCGCAGAATTTTTTTTAACTAAAAAAGTCTTTTAAAATCCTAACTAATACACCCCCCCTTAATCATATTACTATGGTTCTGAACTGAAAAAACTTTTATAGAAAAGAATGTGCAACACATGCACCAAAAGGAAAATGGGGTCAAGGCACCCCTTCCCCTCTTTGTGCCTCTTCTTTTTCTTTCCCTTTAAGGGACTGAATAATATCCCTAAATATTTACGATGGCACAAGCAAAGAGAAACATAGAGGAAATGAAACTTAGATATTCCCTTTGATGTTTCATCCACATATTTACAGACACAAGGTTAATAAACATTGTAGTTTCAAGGACAAGCTAAAGCTGCTTAATTCAGCTACTAGCAGAAGGACCAAAGTACATGCAGATAGGAGGATCAATCCTCAAAATAGAAAGGACTGCAGAAGGAATTGTCCATATCCCATCACCACATATCAAACCAGAAGCAACTGCTCCAGCATAGTCCTCTGCATCCTTTTTATTCAACCTTTCCCATACAAACAATATCACAGTTCCAATAAACATATCAACTGCAAAATAAGCACCAATGTAAAAGGGAACTGCCATTGCCATTGGGATAGGTATGTACTGAGAGAATTTCTTAGGAGTCACATCCCTTAAAAGATTGATAGCCAGGGCGGCTGCAAAGAAACCACCACACATCTCCAGGCAGTACTTTGGAAGCTCTGAGAAGCCCTGAATGCCGACCATTTCCCTGAATATAACGGCATATGGGGCTTTGTAAGGGCCGTCAGGTGAGCCGATATCGAAGGCAGTCCAAAACATCCAGAATGTGAGAGGAGCAATTATGCAGCCCATGGCTGTTCCAATCAATTGGCTCACAAACATGGACTTAGCTGATGAGAGGGTGAGGTAACCTGTCTTGAAATCTTGCATGAGATCAGCAGCAGTTGCCACAATGGACATCATCACGGCAGATGATGCCATGCCAGCTATTACACCGCCATTTTGGCCAACTGATGCTGCAATGATGAAAAGGCCGATCTTGCCGTATGTGGATGCCAGGCTCCAGTCTGTGAGGCCGGTGCCATAAGAGTTGCAGAAAGCAAGGGCAGGGGCAAGAATGTAACAGCAGAGAACCAAGTACCATTTGAGAGGAGGGAAAATAATTGGTATTGTTGCTATCGATATGGCAGGCAAGCCCACATATACAGAAGCGGGGAAACAACATGGACTTAGCTGATGAGAGGGTGAGGTAACCTGTCTTGAAATCTTGCATGAGATCAGCAGCAGTTGCCACAATGGACATCATCACGGCAGATGATGCCATGCCAGCTATTACACCGCCATTTTGGCCAACTGATGCTGCAATGATGAAAAGGCCGATCTTGCCGTATGTGGATGCCAGGCTCCAGTCTGTGAGGCCGGTGCCATAAGAGTTGCAGAAAGCAAGGGCAGGGGCAAGAATGTAACAGCAGAGAACCAAGTACCATTTGAGAGGAGGGAAAATAATTGGTATTGTTGCTATCGATATGGCAGCCAAGCCTACATATCCAGAGGCGGCAAACCATGTGGGTATCCTGTCCTTTAAAAATACTTCTTCCCTCCTCTTCTCTTCTGATTGCAGTTGAGAACTCTCATCTTCTGAAAGCATACATGAATATGAAAATAATTAACTTCTATAAATTATACACTTGCACTCAGATCATCACCAGAACAGGCCAGGTAAGACAGGCAGATCATCTGAGATATGCCTTTCTGCCATTGTCTTTGAAAAAGTCATGTTGAACGAGGTTATACTAGTAATCAGATAACAAATCAAATTATACAAGGCTTCATTAGCAAAGAATAATGAATTATTGTGATGGCTAATTCTTTGACTGTAGATGGAAAAAAGTTATCAGTGCCATTGTACCAAAGGTTAACATCACTACTAGTTTCAATTGATGACTCTGGGAGTAGATAATCAGATATGATTTTCAGAAGTTAATTAATTCCATTCAGATCAGCTGTTTTCCACAATGCAACAAATTCTTTATTATCCATAAATTAAAATCAGATTTTGAAGAAGCTAAATGTGAGAACTTTCTACAAATTAATTTATGCATAAGCTAATTTTAACTTATGAGAAGAAAGTTGAGAAGCTGATTTCATTTTTCTAATTTTCTTTTCCAATAAATGCTTATAGAAAAAAATATCCAACCAGGAACTATGAAAGTAATTTATTGGAAAATATAAGAAACACTGCTTGACAAGATATCAACATTTATATATGTACTTCATGGGAAATGACTTGGCAGATACCAAACAGAATTTTATTAAAATAAAGAAAATGAAACCACACTTGTTGTAAGAAATATTTTGAAAGTATTTTACTGTACTCACCTTGAACCTCTGTCACAACAGGAAGGCTGTTCTGTTTGGAGCTTGCCCTCCACATCTCCCTAACGGTTATCAGTATAATCTTTACCAGATTATATATACCATCCCCCAAAATAAGGGCAATAGATATGAAAACCTGCATAAAACATGATAAGTAAGAAAGAAACTTTACAACAGAATAAAGCAACTAACCAATGACAAGAGGAAATTACTAGAAGAATAAGTACTTTACAAGAAAAAAAGCCTATGGATAAGGATGTATTGAAGCAAAGATGATGAGACAAGTATATCTTTTTAAGACATTAAAGCTTGGAAAAGCCTAACTAAAGTTCAGACTGGCTCAGCATGTTTGGAGCGAAAGGGCAAAACCATTTCGTATCAAGTCAAAACAATGACTACTACATAGAATGATATAAAATAAAAAAACATGTATTGTACTGTGCTCAGCAAATACAAGATGCAAGTAAAATGTAACATTTCAATACAAAATACTGTTTGCATAAAGATACATAAGTGATGTCCTGCAAATATATATGCTTAGCCATACCTTGTATCCATAAAGACCTTTGAAATCATTGCTACCAAGGTCAGCTGGATACCAATCCCCAGCATGCTCGGAGACAAAAGGCCACAGAAAGCCCCATGATATAATAGCTCCGAGGAGAACTGAACAATTTACAAGGTGAGGACAGATAAGACCACATCCAACATAGGTTGGACTGAAGTCAAAGTAGAATCTGCATCAAAAGGACTCCATGTTAGTATCTGGACAATTACTTGTATCATCAGAATCAGAACCCTCCGCATTTATTCCATAGCACAGCAGTTAACAGTTTATAATAAAGTGTTATTCAACTTATTTGATAACTATTACAAAATTTTCACATGCTATTATTAATGAAAAAAAAAATTGTTTCAAATGGCATGGGATCATGAGGGGCAGTTAAGAAATACAAACTACCACAAAGAAAAGCCTAAAGCAACTGATGCAAAATTAAGAAAAATAATTAGGCTATTATTCAGCAAAGTTGTTGCCTCTTATAATGCACCATCAGTAAAGGTGCAATTGTCTTCATTTAATTGTATTATCATAATAAATAGACAATAGAGGTGCTAGCATTAATATTATGCATGTCAGTCATTTAATATTTGTGTTTTGTGTTACATTATACCAGAGGCTGATTAATAAAACTAACCAGTTCTGGGAAAGAAAAACAAAATCAGCAAGTGATCAGGAAGGACACAGCCAACCAATAGCAGCAAGAACACAACACTAGAACTCTACAAACTAAAGGCTAAATTGCAGACCTAGAACCCAATTTCATACTCCTTCCATTTCACTTTATCTATCAATTTGAGAAAATAGTCAACAGATTAAGAATGTAATTTTCTAAAAGTATTTTTAACCACTCTCCCTTGGTCTGTCATTACAACTTGCAATTATTCTCAGGAATTCAAAATAGTTCCAGGATTTCAACTCAAATGTTAATAGTATGGTAGTTAAGGGTTGAGTTTATTAGAAATAACTAGTTGAAGTTTGTGACACTGCCCCATTAGTTTCTTAAGAAGGTATTGTTATACATAATCATAATTGAGTTTTGGTGTTTACCAAGTACAGGGAGATATTCATCATGAGGGGAAGTATCTTTTGTTATTTATTGAGTTCATTAAGTTACAAGTATGCTAAGTTCTGTCAATTAAATAATAACGAGTTAAAAGTCTAGCACTAGCTCAAGGACTTCAATCAAATCGAAAATGCTTCTGTTTGTAATGTACCTTAAGGTAGTGTTCCTTAAGGCACAAGTGAATTCATAGAAATGACACAATAACATATAAAAATACAGAAGCAGACTTATATACAATGTAACTCTCAGACTGTTATGGTAGTCATTACTCATTAGATCTCATTAAACAAAGTACACATGTGATACCCAACAACAGATGCTGCATAATTTAATGTAAGTGGGAAATGAATTCAATCATATGAAGAGCAAATCAAATTCACAAGACACTTACGTGTTCTTAAATAGAGTTAAACCAAAGCTAGGGAAGTTGTCAAATCCGCATGAATCCCCAATACCACTGAAGAACCACTTAAAGCAACTCCAGAAGAAACTTATGCTTAGATATTTTCCAAGCTGCCGAACTTGATTCCTGTAAGATTCTCATAGACAATAGATTAATATATATTAAAAGGAAGAAGATGGAAACAAAATAATCAATGCATAAAAAATTTAGAGGGGTTAAAAGGTTAAAGGTGTTTCCACAATGCTTTGATTAATAAGCATTAAGCAGAAAGGTTCAGTTACAATGTGCATGACCTGTATCAGAATGTAAGATATAAAAAGCTTCTGAGTAATCAAATTAAAATAACTTGTAATTCATACCCTGCAAGTTCTGCTCCAGTTTTTGTGTGGAAACTGTTAATTAGCATTGCTGTGGCTGTCCCACTGGGATATGTAAGCTTATAATCCAAGACCATAACCTGAAATTTCATTCACAGATATCAGAATATATTGGCAAAGGAAATGATATATCAAAATATCAAATGTGCAACATATTGAAGTAAACAGAGGTTACACCTATCAGCAAACAAGCCATAACCAAAATTTGCACTTCCAGTTCCACTCTTATATTCACTTTTCTCATTATACACACATACTACCAAATTGATGCAATTTTGTGGGATAAAACCATTTGAAAAATTAAAAGCATTAAATTAAATAATGCCTCTTTAATTAAACTTTTCTATTTAGTTTTTATCGTTGACAGCCACATATTTACACAAACTTTTTAATCCCTCACAACAGATAAAATATTCATATCTTTGCCCCCTAAATAAATAAATAATTCATATGAGTTGGACTACATATATGATTCCTTCCATGTCCATGCTTTCAGCCAAAGCAACAAAATGAACATGATGAAGAGAGCATTATTTGTAGTACATGGGAAAATAATACATCCTCTAAAAATATTCTGTATAGTTTTTTTTACGACAAATAAATAAACCAACAGAAAACGCATAGAATGCCAAATATTCAGCAATAAAACCACAAACATTGAAGTTCATGAAGAAAAATACACTCATCATATAAATAGTTCCAAAGATAGTCTAAAACCCTAAAGAAAAACTTCTATAATGATTAACATTTCAAAGTTTGACAATGTTTTATCATGTGATCTTCCGTATCACAAGGGATAAAATTCTTGAATCCTATTTCATTCTCCTGCCTGTTTTATCTTAGCTCTCCACTTTAAATGCAATTTCCTTATGATAAAAAGAAAAGGAGCAAAGAAAGAAATAGAATTCTAGCAAATCTAACACAAATTTCAAATCACATAGATTACCTTACGAAGTGGCACAAGACTAAAAAGTCCAAGGAAACTGACAACAAACATGAAACCCATCATCCAACCCAAGCCTGGGTTTTTAACATCTTCAGCTCTATTACCAGGGTAATTAGGGCCTATGAGTTCATACGTTCTCTGATCCATGGCAATCAAGGATGAACCAAACCCCCCTGTCAACAACATCACAGTTTCACATTAGAAAAATTTATGGGAAAAAAGCTCACCCATATAAGCAACGCCCATGACCAAGATGTTTGAAGTTATAAACCAGAGTGCTTAACTAGAAATGAGACAACAGAAAAGAACATCACAGATAGATAACAAAATATTTTCACCTTGTACAATCAAGTAAATAACCACATTTCAACATTCACTATTTATTGTATAGAGAACGATTATATGATTGTTTTAAAGCGTTTCAACAGATTGCTTTCCTAAGACAATCAAATTCCATGATTTTGAACACAAATGCAATCTCACTTTAGTCTATTAACATTCCAAGAAAAACATATATATTAAAATATCTGGAGTGTAGAAGGATGTCATCTTCATTTCCTGCTACATTGTCAATTCACCACAAAACTCTCACAACCTCTAACCTTCACAACACTAACTCCAACCTGAGACGCACCTTCCAATAAAGCACGAAGCTCATGCATCGCATAACAGGTAAAGAAAACAGAAGCACATCCCAACAGAGTAAAAAAAAAATAAAAAAATAAAAACAACTTTTCCCATGTTTGAGATTCTAAAGTGAATTCAACAGTAAGAATCCACAAGAATATTCTGCAATCAAGGCTTTAAATTGCGATCAGTTACGGCTTCATCACAATCTTCAATATTCCTTAAAACTACGGAAAAGTAAAGATTCTAAAAACCTAGCCTTTTTGGCAGACCTTAGTTGCTGCTAAGCCAATCCAAGGCAAGACAACTGAATCCAAAACAAACAAACAAAGTGAGAAATAGATAGATCGAGAGAGAGAGAGAGAGAGAGAGAGAGAGAGAGAGATACCACTAAAGGCAAGGCCATAGCAAGCAACAACACATGTCTGAATAACAGTGTTCTCCTGTCTGGTGAAGGGTTTGGTGAAAAATCCCATCTTGGTCAAGAAACTAGTCCAAGTCTTCACTAAGAAGAACCCCAACAAGCCAGCAGCAACGTTAAGAGAAGGGATGATCCCAACAGTGAGGTTGAGTTTGTGTGTGATGATGCAGAACAAGCTCCCCAACACAGCACTCACCACCAACCCTCTTAAGGTAATTTGCTCCTTCCATTCAGGAACCTCCTTTTCCTCGTTGCTGTGAGGCTCCCCAAGCAAGGGTTCTATAACATCCACCGATGATGTCTCTGTACCCATTCCGAAGAAATCGAAGAAAAGAGAGATTGTGGGGTTTTACTCTTCTGGGGTGAATCAGAATAAGGATAAGGGCATGTTGAGGATTCAGATGTAATGAACAATGATTGGGTTATGTGAGCTTTTATTCTAATAGGAACAACTCTGATTCTGTTTAGGGAAGTGACAGCAATGACACGCAACTTATCTTGGGACTCCAACCTAACACTCTGTCATCACGTTGCTTAGATTATTGTTAACCAAGTTGTCCACTATTCTGGTTCCAGCATAAATTAGAATCTCTAATTAGAGGTTCTTAATATTTTATTTTTGAGAGGTGTATTTTTATTTTTCCATATTTTATTTGAAAAACATAAATTTGTTTCTTAAATATACAAAGTAAGTTTCATCTCAACCGATATATTTAGAAAACATTTAATTTTGTTTATTAAATATATGGTAAGTTTCATCTCAAGTGGTATGCACAGAAAACATTTGTCGGAAGAATTTAATCCTAAAATAAGTCTAAATACTTTGACATACTTATATAATACTTTTTTACATTGTATTTATATAATACTTCAACTATATAATCTACCCCATATGATTTATTTATTATATCTTTTTTTTTAATCAGTGTTTTACCTTAGATTAATTTGAGTTAATCGAAAAAAATTAAAGTTTAGTTAAAAATTATTTTTATCAAATATCAAATTCGACTAGAATTCGAACATTCAGATTTGAGTTGATAATTTCCTCTTTATTTATTTTAGGAACATAATTTATTCTTTGTATATACATTACATATTATATACATTTATGATTTATAGTGTTTTCATTTCATGTGAAACATAATTTTAATTAAAAAAAAACTCTAAATTTATGTACATTTATTGGAGAAAATAATGGATTGAGATCCCTGCCGTTACTTTTCAAGCTGCATGCATCATAACCTTTAAAAGAAATTTTTTTTTTTTTGTTTCGTAAAATATTTTAAAATAAATATATGCTGTTAGTGAGAGCCATTAGATCTAAACGGTACAAGGTGCTGTTCATTTGTGAACTCCAGAGGATCCATATCTAAAATAATTGTTTACAATAATTTTTTAGTGAATTATAAAATAATAAAAAAACAATTATTTAATAAAAATTAAACAACTATATATATGTTTCTAATAATTAGCCAAAAAAATATTTATAAATATGTCTTACAATGAATTAAATAATAGCTATACGAATGTATATAAAGAATGAATCATGTGCTGTAAGTTTTAAGGTAGCTTAAAAAATTAGTCATAATAAATACTGTAAATTAAAATAATGTGTGTATGTTTTACTTACTTCAAGAAATATTCTGAGTTAGAGTTTTGTGCACCTGAAGTAAAAAACTCATCGGAAAAACTAATGTTGTTATACTAAAAAATGATTTTAATTCAAATAAAATTGACTCATGAAATTAAATTTAGTTTGGTTTAATATTATAATCATAATAATTATTATTAAATATATTAGATGTCACAAAATTTAATATATATATATATATATATATACGATAAATATTTTGAGTATTATATGGACACTTGTAAATGACTTATGTAACACTATACTCAGGTAAGTTGGGTAAGTGTAAGGGTCTCTTGTCATAGGTCGAATTGACCCTGAGCAGAAAAGTATATAAGGTTCTATTTTGAATAGGATTTATAATCATTTTCTCTTTAGAAACTTTAGAGAGAGAGTGATCTACAGAGAGGAGTTGTGATTCTTCTTTCCTTCTTCTTTCTAGGTTCCTCTGGAGTGAGAGATTTGTAGTTGGGAGTGTTAGATTCAAAGATATTAGGGTTGAGAGTTGGTGCAGAGCTTGTCTTCTTTAGGCTCAGACTGATTCTTCCTTCTCCTTCCTCTCTTTCGGATTCCAGTTGCTTGAAGATTGAGATAAGGCGAGCTAGGACGATTTGGTTGTTTGATTTGATGAATTGTGTTGTTTCTTTCATCAAATGTAGGTAGAATATGGTTGGAATCAGATTGAAGGGTAGGATTTTGGTGTTGTTGGGTGTCAAGGTGAAATTTTTTGTGATTTACTTAATTTGTTGTTGCATGTGTTGCTTTTTGTTACAAATGTGTTGTATATGGTGGATATACATGATTGGTTGCAATGCACATTGATGGGTTTTTTGAGTTCCAGGTACTTGGGGCAATTTTCGTGATCTACAATATGTAGAAATTACAATCACATCAGGCACGCCTTCATGGTACCGAATGTAGTTCTAATCAAAGATCTTTGCCTCAATCATGTTAGGCATAGGATTGGAGGCATCGAGTGTGAGGTGAGAGAGTCATCTTAGATTGGGATGGCGTTGAGCATGGTTTGAACGATGTCAGGTGTGAGAGAAAGGGGAAGTCTTTGACTTGGTGTAGTCAAGCACTACTAAGGTGACATTGGGTTGGGTTTTGTCATGCCAGGCACGAGACCCCATGGGATCTCCACCTTAGTTACACCTGGCACGACTTGAATGGCATTGAGCGTGAGCAAGGCAAAGAGCTCCCTGCCTTGATGGTGTTGGGCATGAGGTAAGTTGTGTCGAGCGCAAAATGTCTAGATGATATAAGTGTTTTGGTGGATTTGTATAATGTATGAAGATTGTTCTGTATATGTTAATTGGATATGACATGTGTAGATGTTTGTATGATGTTGGAAGATGGTGAATATATATCTACGTTGTATGATGAATGATTTGTAGAGCATTAATATGCCATGTGTGGATGATATTGTCGTTAATCCCTATATACATTGACCGGATATGATATATATAGTAGATGTATGATAAGGTGTGTAGATGCTAAAAATGTGATATGACATTAAGGCATGTTAGCTAACTTAGGACTTAAGGTGAGGAAATTATTTTAAAAAATTGAAGATCCCATATAGGGTATCTTGAAGTGGTGCTCAGGTGGGTCACTATTGGAAAACCTTCCTTAAGTAGGTGTATCTCTTGGAGTAGGTTTTTGAGACGTATTGAGTCTTTTATAGGTCCTTAGTTAGTGGCTGGGTAAGATAGGAGGTCAATGACTACAACCCTTAACCGAGTACTTGGAGGATTGTGTGGTTCCTTGAGGATGGTCAATGGGCTAACTCCACATATGACTTGGTAATATATGTCAAGGTTGTGGTACGCCTATACCCAGTTGTACTACTCCTAACGATGGAACCAAACTTTTCTAGTATAAGTGATAAGATCCGAGAAATCGGAAGAGGGATTGGTATGCCATTTTTGTTGTGATCAAGCTGGTGCTGCGGGTGTGAAAACGATTGGGTTGGTTCGATAGGGTGAAAATTACTTAGACTGCTCATGTTGTTAAGAGATCTTTGTAGGTGAATGTGTAATAGCACATTAGTTGATATGTTTGCATATGATGGGTGTTTAGGTGTGTTCATATGCATTATTGATGTCTAGCGTGACATGATTTGAATAATATACATGTTTGCTTGGAGTGTTATAATTTTCATGTATGGTTGTGGTATGATGTTGTATATTATAAGATTGTTTTCTATGTGTACATGTTTTCAAACTCTAGCTTAATCTTTTTTATTTCCATGATGGTTTGGACTACGATAATCATACATTATTGTATATGAACAAATCAAGGCTAGGCTTGAGGAACTGTTGTGAGTAAATGGTGTGATCTTTTGTTGATGACAATGCTACTACATGTAGCTTGTATAGATGTGTTTGACTAACTCTAGAATATAAGATTATTTAGGATTATTGTATACATGTATATATCTTATTTATATTAGTTTAATTGTTTTAATTATATATGCATGTTATGTATATGTATATCATGTTCCTTTTCTTAATCTTGTATGTTCTAGTAGTATAGTTTCTGCTACTAGGAGTAGTGATTCCGTTGAGTATAGAGACCATGACAGATTATTACAACTTAAATATATTTTTAATCTCTCAAATTTACGGTAAATTTATTTTTGATTTTGTAAATTTAAAACTATTATTTTTAGTTTTTGTAATTCTCAAAAATCTTATTTTAGTCATTCAAGTCAATAATAACATATCTAAAAGTGATAAATTAAGATCGTTATATAGTATCAGTCAGATTTAATATGATATTTTCACTAATAAAAACATTAATATGTAGATTTTATGTGACAATATTTAACAAATTCTTTCAAAAGAAATTTGAGTATAATAAAACAAGATTTTTTGAAAGAGAGAATATAAATATATTATTTTATAAATATAAATATAAGACTAACTTGAATATATATATATATATATATATATATATATATATGGGGGGGAATATATATATATATTCACAAGAAAGAGAGAATATAAATATATTATTTTATTTTTAAAATATAAATTGAATTTATATTTAAAATATAACTTTAGAGAATTAGAGTTCTATTTTTTTAGTAAATTATAATTATTTTTATTTAAACAAGTAGGATTGAAATACTTCGTGTCTCTATATTTTATTTAATAAAAGTATTTAAAATTTATCAACATTTGTTAGATTAATTGGTGTTGTGTCTATGTCTCAAATCTTAGGATGTTAAGTTCGAGTTTGTGTTTATAAAAGTAATTAATTTTTAATAATAATTTTTATTATTTAAAATTTTACATGTAAAATTGTCTATAAAATATGTACACTAAATCAAACTACTTTATATATGTTATAGATTAAAAATATAAAAAACAAAATAAAAAAAAAACCAATATAGGTGTATACATAAAAAATGAATTATATACATAGTAGATTTCATAGTTTAAGTTTATAGCAAGTGCTATTGTGGACCACTTTTATAAATGGTCTATGTGGACCATCTTAATTAACCATCTTAATTAGCCATTAGATGTATCTAACACTAATAATAATATTGTGCTTTTCTTGTATCGATTTATTTTTCTCTATTTAACACTAACCTAATTATCTTCCATATCACGTAAGTAATTATTTTTTTATTTTTATTTTTTTGTAAATGTTAATTGTTAGTTATTATGTCAGTGAGAAAATTTGAACCAACATCCTCATTATCACTCCAATCTTGTATCCCTCCTCCAAACTACTCTGGCCACCTTATAACTCCACCTTTTCTTGTTATTCCCCAACATCTAAATCCACCACAAAACTATGAATATAAAAATAAAAAAACAATTTGATGTAAAGGTA